ATTTGATACGATCGGTCTAAATCTGACTTGTCACACTTGGAATGGGGACCAAAATGTCGGTCCGTTTGAGTCTGATGCAAAGCTGTGTCAGCAAATTCAATCCATTTCTAAAAGCTTCGCCACGTCCATTAAGGTCTAGAAGCACACTCAGATTGGCTCATCAAAACAATTCCATTTATCAGATATATAATTTGAAATTCTTTTTTTTTTACGTGAAAATTTAAATATATTTTGACATTCAAATAACAGTTTGCTTTAGAAGGAAATTTAATCACAAGGACGGCACATCTTGTTAAGATTTGAAGTTACATCTTAAAAAGTCAATCTTGTTAAAAGGAGAAGTTAAATTCTTTATAAATTGATTTATGTTTTCATCTTTATGCGACGAGGGATTTCATCCCTTAACGCGCCCCCACAAAATGATGGCTCGTTTGAGCAGATCAATTTTGAAATCTGTATGCTCAATTATTAAGTCTTAATCGGATCGAATCGCTTGTTGAAATTTAATGAACTCTGATACCATGTTAAGACTTTGGACTCCATCTTAAAAGGTCAATCTTGTTAAAAGAAGTAGCACAATTCCTTATAAATTGGTTTAATCTTTCATCTTTATTTGATGTGGGATTTCATCTCTTAACACATCTTCTGCGTTTGATTGGACGGACTATTGTTCGGAAGAGAACTTTGATTTATCCGACTATAAGTGGAATTCAAAATGTTTCTTTTTTTTATGAACTTTTTTTAAGTTTGAAAGCCTTAATCTATCGATTGATCTTTTGGACATTAGAATTTATAATACCAAATGACTTTTTAATAGGTATTCCAATATTCTTAAAACATTTTTGATAAATAATATTGAACTGAATTGAGCGATTTTATTAAACAGATTTTATATTTTTAATTACTTTATTGATTCATCGAAGCTCCCACTCCTTCTCCTCCTTCACATCCTCATCTCTCAAACTCCCAGCCAATTCAAATGGTACTCTTCTATAGGTTGGATATTATGTCAACAAAGACTGGTATTATGGCTATTGGACAAGGTTCAAAGTCTCTTGGATGTCTGAGCTAGACTCACCTTCCATGGAATGTTTTAGGAAGATATATTCAGAAAATGCTATAGTCAAAGGAAACTGGAGAGTAAAAGTGAGAAAATGAGAATAACCAGTATTAAAAGGTAAGGAAGGACAGCAGATGAGAGAATTAAGGATATCCATCAAAAAGACTAAACCATCCATAATGATGTACCTGAAAATACAACATTTTTGTTAATTGACCAACCATCAAGAGAAGCAAATACAACAGGTACACAAATCAAAGGTCAAGACCACCAAAATGATGTCGTTTTTGAAATTTTAAACTGAAAGCTTCGCTTACAGTAGATTTGACACTACCCTTAATCTTTTGACAAGTGTACTTCATGCACAACCAACTAGAATAGCTATCTCCGACCAAGATTTGAAGCATCAACAAACTGGGCGATCGAGAAGTAAAGTTCGGTCTTTTCAAATATGAAACTCAAACCTTGGGGATAATTGTTGTTGTCAATCTGAAAATTTACATTGAATCATTTGAGTGTTCACCTTGACTTGGTCTAGAAGTATTTTTTATTAGAGAAGTTAAACGAGTCAGAACTAAAGGTTGACTAAAGATCACATCAATATAGGTCAGCCTATGGGAGACGTCATATTATGGAGACGTAATATGAAGGAGGAGAAAAAAAAAAATTATAACATGACTAGAAAGGTGTCCCCCTTAAAGGTGGCACCATCTGCAACAACAAATCAAAAGAAAGTCACGATGACCTAAGATGCAAGCATAAGACCTAGGTATCATGATTACTTGCGACAATTCCACTTTCCATCGAATAAATTTCTTCAAATGTGAGATGGTACATGGACCTGGATTAGACACTGTGCCTTGAAGGCCTATATAAAAGGGTGATGGTCAAGGCTCGAATTAAGCCCTTGTTTGACTATATTTCTCGTATTTATTTTCAAACATACATTCATATAATAAAATATTTGCACGTAAAATCAAAAATTTTCCTATTTCTTAATTATACATTCCTCAAAAATCAATAACTAAAACATTATTTTTTTTTCTCAATTTCTTTTTGTAATAGCCATCAGGCAGTGGCTAAATAATCTCTCTATATTTACAACTATAGGAATTCCAGCTATACTACCTCCGTATTATACAAACTTACAGCAACATAACATTATTATTCTACTTAAATTCCTATAAATTGATTGAAAAATATAACAACGTTAGCTAAATGGATTGAAACAAAGAAAAAAAGGATTATGGAGGAAGAATGTCTCAGGGAACTCGAATGCACAGGCGAAAATGAAATAATTAGTGTATGACATAATTAATTTATTAGCTGTTTACTTAGAATAGCCATATTCTTTATATTTTTTTCTATTTAAGTGTTTTATTTAAGAATTTAAACATGAGAAACATCAGCCAAGGAATATTTTGATTCAAATGTATATTCTTCTTACTAATTAATGAAACATATTACCAATCGGAAATTTGAAACACTTATTGGTCAAATATCATGACCTTTAATTTAAGTTAATCTAACGTTCAATACGTATCTACTAAGATTGTGGGAGAGTTTGTTATGATCACTTGAGAGCCATAAGATATTGAGCATTGAATTGACTTGAATTAAAAGTCATGATTATTTGTCAAATAAAAGTGTCATATATATATATATACACACACACTACTCCTAGACTTCCTAATATAAGACCCGGTCCTAGAAAGACTAAAAGAAAATCATGTACTGGTCGAGGTAAACCCATTTAATTTTATAGAAAAAAAAATAGATAAATCAAAATATTTCATGACTTTTTGACCTAACTAGGAAAAAAGAAGTTATCTTTGATGATACTTCTTAATTGAATTAAATTGGAATGGGTATGATGTGGATTGATGTAGATACAGTAATGAGACTACTCTTATTCTTTATCCGAAAGAGGAGTTTAAAACTCTCTATTTTGAAATCATTAGTTGAATAGAAATCGATTTTCAATCCGAATTAAGCCACAATTCTCCCCAACCAACCTATTAACCAAGCAAAAAACCTCATTATTTTGGATCCAAAAATGATGGAATGATTTTTGAATCAAGGATTTTTTAAATCAAGAATTGAATTCATTAAAGGATCTATTTAGTTTTTTTAGAAGATGACGTGTCGTCACTCAGACTCGAACCGAGATGCTAGTGAAGTTTCATAGGGTCTTTATGTCCGGTGCAAGTAGTCCATATCTTCACATACATGTCTATTTCATCAAGCCTCTCTCCGAGACAGTGCCCAGATCGTTATGCCTTTCGTGCAGGTTGGAACTTACCCGACAAGGAATTTCACTACCTTAGAACCGTTATAGTTACGACTGCTGTTCACCAGGGCTTCGGTCACCGACTCACCTGTCATCAGGTCACCAACTTCCTTGACCTTCCGGCACTGGGCAAGCGTCAGCTCCCATACATGGTCTTACAACTTTGCGGAGACCTGTGTTTTTGATAAACAGTCACTCGGGCCTAGTCACTGCAACCCCCTTTGTGAGGAGGCACACCTTCTCCCGAAGTTACGGGGCTATTTTGCCGAGTTCCTTAGAGAGAATTGTCTTGCGCCCCTAAGTATTCTCTACCTACCCACTTGTGTCGGTTTCGGGTACAGGTACTATTTTGTTGAAAGGTCGTCCGAGCTTTTCCTGGGAGTATGGCGTGGGTTACTTCAGTGCCATAGCGCTTGGTGCTCAAACATTGGCTCGAGGCATTTTCTCTACCCATATAACAATGTTGACATTATTATATGGACGGATCTACCCCCACACTAAATTTGAAATCCAAGATTTTGTAATAAATTTTTCAAGATGTTACACCAGGCTTTATAAAAAAAAATTCTTATAATTTTCAATTTTCCCTCCGCAATCAAAATTTTGTGAAATTTGCCTCCACAAATCTAGTCCCCTGGTTCCGCCCCATTTATCACCATAGCCCATAGGTTTAGTTTACCAAATTTGATAAATTATATCTTATTCGAACAATCATCGAGGATGTGTTGGATATGTTAACTCCACATGAACATGAATTGGGGTGGAAAAAATGTGTTCATATTGATAATTACTATAAATTACTATTCATCGTTGTAAACTTGTAACATATCTTTCACGTGTTTTTTGGATATCTTGTAGAGCAAATGGGGGATATCATAACATACGATCCAATACCTACCACCCCCCCCCTCGCCTCACAAATGAATATTTATATGGTATTTTTGCGTGACAAATAAATTTAGATTCAAGTGTCACAGCATTTGTAAAAAATCTTAGTTAAAAAAACTTCGGTCCGTATATGAACGGACATGTGTTAAAACAATATTCCATTTAAACTTTTAGATACTTCATTAAGCCTCGTTTGGTAATAATTTTTCACCCCAAAAATCAATTTTTTGACCGTTATTTCATTATTTCAACCTCATTTTTGACTTTTTCATTCACAGGTGAGACCCATATTTCTTTCTAAAGGTAAAAAAAATCAATTCTCATAATCACTACCGAACATACTCTAAAAATTACATGTATATATTTATTTCTTGTATGTGAACAAATGTTTACTTTTGTATATATCCCATCACTGCATGCGTCACTGCGTGCATTGCACACCGTAAAAACGTGAGCATTGCCATAACAAAACTAGACTTTTTACGACATGCACTGGATGCCATAAAAAGCCCTGAAATAGTCATTTATGGCATGCTTTTGCATGCCGTAAAAGGTATCACTTTTTACGTCATAGATATGTACCCCGTAAAAGGTCACACTACCATTTTTTACTGTGTGTAAATGGACGCCGTAAATTCTCAAACTTTTTATTTTTTTTTTATTACCAACAAACTTATGATAATTAAAAAGCAAGTTTATGTATATCAGGCAAATATGATCATGTATTCCATAATTTCAATAAACAAAAATACTCAGTGCGATCCAATACAATTTACCAAATGTAAAGTTAATAGCAATTTGCCAAAAGTACAAACTACTACTCCAAATATAACTGATTAAAGTATTACAAAATAATCGATCTATGCTTCTTTGATCAGCAACTTAGCTTTCCCAACAATAAGTAGCTGCCTGCCCATCACAAAAAAACAATAATAAAATTAGATGTGTTTTCACTCATTTTGTTAATATTCATTCAAAATAATACCAGAAAAAAATCTTAATTAAAAATTAAATCTAGGCGCAAATTATTTCCACAACTTAAAACATATAAATGCTAAAATAAGATCGACAAACTTGCTTCTTCATTGGAGTTGAATGTCCCTAAGAAAAGAGATATAAAATGAAAACAATTAAGTTTCAAGATTTAAATAAAAATTTGGTGGGAAAATCCAGTTCACCTTTTTTTTTTCCCCGAGAAACTTACACTCTGCAACCACAGAAAATAAAAACGAAAAAGGAGAAGGACTGATCTTCCTCTGTACAGCCATAATTTGTGTATAAAGGATTGGCCAAGAGGAGTCTAAATCGCGTGCGAAGTCTAACAAAAAAGATCTCGAATAAGCTCCCAAAATCCAATTCACGTGTCGCATTAAGGTCCTTCAATCAAGCAGGACCATTGTGCTCGCTAGGTATCATATCATCCAGTAAATCACGCATAATTTTTTGTAGAAAATTTTAGTATCGTGATCCGCGAAAAGTGTTGAACTTCTTATTCAATTATCTTTTTGATGGTATATCATTTACTATGTAAAGATCTTTGTACCAAATATTATGCTCTAATTTCTTATATATTCTGCATAAAACGGCTTTCTTTTGACTTCGACCCTAGCTTCCCTCTTCTAATGTTGGATGCTCCACCACCCCCTCCCCCTAAAAATAAAAAAAAAATTAAAAAAATAATAAAAATAAAAACACTTTGTAGCCTCTCATTTTTTTCCTCTCTCATCTTCCTTTTGTATTCCAATCTTTAAGGCTTGACATTTGCTCCTAAATCGTTGTTTTATCGCTGCAAATCACTCATTTGATCACAATACACTTTTAAGATGGAATGCTGTCATGCAGAACGAAAACAAACTAAACTTAAAGAGAAATTTAATCCAACACATTCTAAATATTAATATATAGTTTTTATTAAGGGATCGAGAAAAGAGTATAAAATAGACATGATTATTAGGTGCGATAAAAGGTGGATCTTCTTCTATGTAAGACATTAGATGTTGGCATACTTACTCTAAAATGTTAGATACATCAGATTTACCTCAATTTTAACGTCGATGTATGATTGAGAAATTGTGTTTAGTAATTGGGGTACGAATTGAAAGTAAAAGTTTAATTATCTGATCGTGAGAATTAAGGTTTGGCGACCCAAATTGAAATTTCACAGGAAGTTCTGTCCAAAAATAAAATTAACCGCTAAAAGTATTAGTCCAAAATGATCCAACAAATTGTCATATTATGTTGGAAAAATCAGGATGAGCATATAGCATTCTCATGAGCATTCTCATGACGCATACGCAAATCTCAATAGATGGCAAGAATATAATTATGAATGAAGTATATTTCTCCATTTTTTACTTTACAATCTTCATGCTGGCCTCAATTTCTGACTGATTACGTGGTCAACAGGTCTTACTCCACTCACATCCAAGTGTAAGGCTCTTGTACACTTGGCCTTCTTTGATAGTGAAAAAGACAATTACAAGCACTCTGAGGATCAAGTTAATCAACTTGTATAGATATTTGGATGTGAAACGAACAAAAGACGTGAGCCACAAGTATGTGTACGGACATCTAGTTATGGAGAGAAAATAAAAGTGAGCAATAATACTGTTGAGTGTAAAATTATATTATTTCAAATGATACTAAATGTAAGCTTTTATATTAGATGAGATGAAATAGTTGTCATTAGATTACAGACGCGTGTATTCATCGTAACAATTGAGGCTTCTCCTTCTAAGTGTCACTTCTGCGGTCTTAGGCTCATGGACATTTAATGATTTTGAAAAGTAATCACCTTATAACCTAAACTTGACTTCTAAAAAGTAGACTTACAAGTTGATTGAAATGTTTCTATTATAGAGATGTCATATCAATCAATATCAGATGCTATATGGAGATCTCTTAAAAGAGGTGAAACCAAAAGATACATTCTCACGTTGAGGGGCTAGTCGCTTCGAATTAGCATTGTAAGAGGTCGTGGAAAACCTATCTCGGTCATGAAGGGTTCTTTATGTACATGCGCTTCGGCAAATGTAATGCATCACTTCGACTAACACGTTGCAAATGTAATGCATCACTTCGACTACCACGTTTGATGGTTTTGATTAAGTCAAGTAAGATAGTGACGAGAATTTCAGTTCTGAGTTGGTTTGTTAGTTGGCAGTCAAGTGACCAATGCTTGGAATCTCGTCGAATGATGTGTAACATGATAAATTTACAGTAATTACACATTTATCTAAATATTGTGAATCTTTCTTCTAGAGAGAGTTGATGTATATGTTTGCGGCGTTCAAATGGTCAAATGCACCGTCGGCAGTAGTCATGCCAGCCAAAGAAATGAGAGAAAGCAACCCAAGGTCAATTTCATTCATTCATTCATTAATACCTACTAATTACTGAAAGCCAAGTGGTCAATTTACATACTAATCTTCAACATTGGTCATACAATTCGTTGATCAAAGTCTATGGAGGATTGGGTTAATACTAAAAGTTGATAAAATTAAAGTTAAAGTCAACAATAAATTTTAATTATATATTCGATAAGATTCATAACTTTTATTAACTGCACTTCATTCAAAATTTACTAAAAATCTAATTTTTTAACAAAATCAAAAGAAATTCTCAATAGAGGAAATGCATAAAGAATTTAAGTTTTATCAAATACTTTTAGTCATGGAAAATTTTGAACTCTTAATTGTTTAAGTTATATTAAATACTTTTTGCTCGTAAAAATATTTAAATTTTGAATGTCGACATGATTCTTATCTAAGTTACATTCCGGGTTCAATAGTACATGTACAAAATCTATTATAAGTAACAAGACACTTCACTAGAAAAATACTTCAATCGACATATGATTATGACGAGTACGATTACACAAATGAAGTATAATTTTTTATTATTTTTTTTATTTTTTTATTTTTTACTCTTATAGTGTACTCTTGTCTTCATGCGAGACAAAGGGGGAAAAATTCATTTTAGTTATAAATAAGGAGCCTGATACCATGTTAAGACTTTGGGCTCCATCTTAAGAGGGTCTCTTTCTGAGCATGACCAATGGTATTAATTCTCAAAGATTTTTGTTGGATATGTCCAAATTACGTTAAAAAAATTATTTACACAAAAGTTGATGTGATTTGAAACTGTATTAAGTGTGTGGTTTTCCAAGCATAAAAAGTTCAATTATAATAAAAAATTAATGCTAATTAAATAAGCAAATTATTTAGACACGAATTAATATCTCGCGAAAATAATACAAGTTGTACTTGACATTTAATGTGTGGCTATCCTAATTCTTCAAGAGAAATATAACTTGCTTGGCCATCGTAGTCGATTTAATGTATTGACATTAACTTAATTAATGAACACTACATATGCTCAATTTTCCTACCAAAGGGTGGAGATCACACTAATTGCTAATTATTGAATTTAGTATTGTATCATTTTAATTTGACACAATTATAATCGACATATTTTATTATCTTATGTTATTTCAAATTGACTCTGGAACAATGGACATATTGTATTATGCTATGCTATTTTAAATTGACTAGACAATAATTGTCAAGTTAGTGTTCAATAAAAATTGTCACAAACTATTATCCCACGCTTTCACTTGGAAGTTCATATCCACTTCATCTCCATGGATCCAAAACTCTTGATCGCGTAATCTTTGATCCTCACACTAAACTCATAAGCCGGACTGGCTGCCTAGAGGCCTTTATGTTCGACTAACCGGATGTAGATGGTGGGATCACATTTCACCATTATAATAGTTTTGTAGTTGTCCAATCCCATGCTATCCATATCAATTTAAACTTTGTTCCTTAACTTTATATTTTCCCTGCTCTTTATTTCAATTCCCAAACAAGCACTTATGCAAATTTGCATGAGCAACCCCAAGAACTTCAATATCATGCATCTCTGCCTTTATTTTTTGGTCTTAGAAAATGTTCCCTACATTTTCTGTATTAGCAAAAGGGTTCCCAATATTATAAAATCTGCAATTTTGCCCCTGCCCCTGCATCACATTTCACACCCTTCATGTAATTCCATGATCAATGTATTTTTTCTTTCAATTACTAAAGTCAAAATCATAGAACCCGCCTTTCATCAATAAATCAATTAATGTGGACCCCATAATCTTAACCTCTAC